GTAAGAAGTTAGTCAAAAATAGTTGGTACATGCCAGTGTTTGCTAAAGGTGTTGCTCCCTCCTCAGAAGTAGGGGCTTGCACCTCCCACACCACCTTAATATCTGTAACTGTTAAAGCCCCACTGCACTACTTATAGCTACTTGCGCCCTCTATATAGCAAACAATGCCTAATCGGTGACCGCTGGTCCCCCATGATCCCCTTTTCCTTATGTTAATTGAGAGCTGGATAGTCTAATCCCTCGGCTTCAGTATAATTATTGATAGCATGTCGACCGATTAAAGCATTTACGCATCTTTAAATTTTCCAGATCTATTAACGATGATCAAGGGCTACATCCAGGGCACCAGCTGTAACAGGTGCTCTCGTTAATTATCATATTCTTGTCAAGCTCGGACGCTTACGGTGACTCGAGCAAAAGGCAATTTTCATCGAACCCCCGAGGTCGTTTTATAGGGACGTGTTTTCCCTTTGTAATTAATGTAGTAGATCAAGTTATTAACAGATATCTGATTATGACCAAAACGAGGTGATCAATCATAAAAGACGACCAGGTTCCCGTGTGAGTAATCCTTAAAATCTTTCGTTAAATTATTCAAACTGGGAAGAATTTGGATCTATCTTACGAACATGTCATGAATCTGAATGACTATACCCTACGTATACCTAGACACATCCCTTCAAAGCAAACTTGAAAATAGTTACAGCTTAATCACTCACACAGCATTTGGTTGTACAGGCAACTGCGTTTGCAGTTGCTGAAGATTAGGCCTATATGTTTTGATAACCCAGTACAGGAACGACGTAGGAGTTGGTAATTTGCTTACGTGCATGGTAGAGAAAGGCAGATCTGAAAAACAGTTTCAAATTTGACATAGACAGATTAAAATAACAATTGTAATCCCTTCAACAATCTGACTGTATTATGTAATACAACCAATTTGAATGAATGTATGTTGCAATCTACCGTAGATTTCAGTGATACTCTAACTTGTATCATAAATTACCGACTGGTAGGGATTAGGGTCGCTCTAGGCGGAACACGTCCCAAGTCAACGTTGGTCACTCAAGTACTCAGTCAATCCAGTAATCATTTTACATAACATTCTGGGAGGTTTTGTAAAATAAGCTCATGATGCATTTTCTTGTTTCATGAAGAATGGATATCAAGACAGTGTTTCAGTTTCCTCCGACATCAGATGCACCAATGACATTTCATCATTAGCCGTTAGTCAGCGTCCAGCCGGCCAAACCACGAGTCTCTTTAGTCCAATAAAGCCATTTTTCAGCCCCAATTCTGACGCTTTAGAATGCCTACACCGGGGAATATTTTAAAGGAACAGGTGGTATTTGACGAATGAAATAAGGAAATGATGCACATACGAAGAAGTCATCCCCACCCACCTTATTAAAGAATGCATTACTGTACAGCCTACCAATCTGTGGTATTCAACAAATGCACTGATGAGAGTATTATGTTACCAGCGGTTAATCAACGTTCAGTGGTCAGAATGCGACTCCGGCCAAATACTCTCATCAAATTATTTGATAACTACCGTGTTTTAGAACGCATTTTCAAAGCACTTAAAGGGACTTGGTAACATTGTTTAGATGAGAGAAAATGATAAGCTAGTGACTTCAATGCTAGATGTACAATTAAAGATAATCTGAAAGTTTGAGTTAAAACGGAACATTATTACTGATAAAAAGTGTGAAAAAATGATCCGATCGATTCCTTCATTCTCCCAACTATAATATTACAATTGAATTACATTTTAGGCTAGTGTAAATCGTCACAAAGCAATGAATTGGCTCTGTATAACATTCCAGACATTTAAGTGTTGAAAGATTTTTTAATGCCCCTCTAATGTCTTATTTTCATGGAAAAACGGTTGGGAAAATTCAAAAATGGTTGGTAGAATTTACTGTTAGAGCGTGTCGCACAGGGACGCCTTCAAAGAAAACTTTAAACATCTTTGTGTTTTGAGAACTTTGTCAGGAGTGTTTGCATGTTAGAGGGTAAGTATGATAAAAGTAATATAATAAGTAACATTTCATACAAAAATTACGCAATTTTTTCATTAACCTTCAACAATGATACCGAGTCACTTAAACTTCCACAGAATGCCGTGGCATACACATCGCATGAAAAATGCCACATGATGCATTTGGGTAGCAAGTTTGTACCCCATAAATAATTAGAGAATGTCAAGATTCTGTTTGAAGACCATGAGACAAGTATGTTCAGATCTTCCGTAGATAAACATTAGTGGCGCCTGGTAGTATATAGTTACCAGTGGTTGATAGCCGGTCAAAGCCGGTCAAAGTGGATCACGTAGTGTTATTTAACCCCATATTAAGACATCTTTCCCCATCGTCATATCCTTTAGAATTTAGACACTAGGCTCGTCCACAAGTTATCATGTAGTTACCCAAGTAGGGAATCGATAGAGGCACCAGAACCTCCTCCACCGTTTTCCTTGAGATACACATTTTTAGTTTTAATAGTCTAGATAAAGAATTGGATGCCAAACAGGCGAGTCGCCTATGTTGTAATCTATCTTATATATCAGCTGTACCCCCTGCTTGTATAGGATTACCAACGGGTTAGAAGTCAGGGTCTCTTTAGCCTGAACACGACCCCAGTCAAATGGGTCAGGCAGACACTCAGTCATTTTCTCCTTTGTTTTACTCAGACATTCACCTGTGCCTTATAATGTTACTTTTCTCTATGTTCTTGCACGAAGCATGATAATGGAAAAGCCCTGCAGGCTTATGAATGGCTGCGAGAATGAGGGTTATTAGAGCCTTGGGCTGGCGTACTTTGGTTGTATACCGTATCATCATGTAATATGAACTGACTTTTACGATACCCAAGCCCTTATCGCTTCTGACATTTACGATCCCAGGCCCATTTCACACTAGACACGATCAGATACGTTACCTTATTACAATTAATTGACCGATTTAAATGCACCTTTTTTGTTATAGAGGAAACACTTCTAAAAAGTGAATAAATAAAGAGAGGTAAATCAAAAGCGATTTATATAATTGGAAAGTGCTCCTCCAGTGTGCAGTTTGTGAAAGGCTCTCGAGACTAACGATCTGATTCGTCGCGTCATACAAGTTTAGAATTATTAGGCACCACCGCGCATACCATGGGCTAGGCAGGAAATTGTAATTGAAATTGTTCCATAAAAAGACGAGGCCGGGCACGGAGCAGCAAGTTGCAGCTCATGTAGTGGAATGACATAAGACTTGCGCCCGCGACTTCGTTATTTTCTTCAGGGTTACTGCTCATGGCGTTGTTGCTATTTTCATTCAGCAGTCAGTCAGCTGTAACTGGTTGGATGGCCAGGAAGATGTGATGGACCATGAAATCGCAATCCTCCCCTACCCAGGTATAAGTCAATTACGCACACCAATGCTGGGTTGCTTCCAACCGTGCCGCCATGTTCGCACCTAGTATCACATTAAGTATCGGTAACATGGAGGGGTCTGATGTTTTTTGCTTCACTGCGAGTGTTCATTCACTTTTCAATCAAGCACAATTCGATTCTTATTCATTGATAACTCTTCAACATTTGAAAGTGTTTACGCTCAAGATGTCCCACATACGTTACCAGACTACATCAACGACTGTAGCATACCTGGTGATTCTCTTTACTACAGCAAAGTTCAGACCAGGACAACGATAATTTCAGTGTTCATATTAGCATAAAAATGATGAATATCTAATAGTGCACTTATATGTATCTACATTGCAAGGTGCTCCAGACGCTCCAAAATTACCACAGTTCTGCTCAGCTACCGATTTCGGAGCTCACAGCATCCAAGGAATTCCTTCCTATGCTTTTACTTTATTTGAATTTGGAGGCAAATGTTTAAGCGCAGTAATAGAAGATATGTACTTATTTATTTTCTTTTGGTTTTTTGGGGGGCGATCTTTGCATTTTTCTCGTATTTGTACATTGCTGAACAATATTGTGTAGGGGTTTGAGTATCTTGCGTTCATTCTGTACGTGTGGCTCGATTACATTTATTCGGGGGCTCTTCAAGTAATTTTAAGGGCTCACGCACTGCCCCTCCCCAAGTCCCCCCCTAACTATAAAAGCGATTTTAAATGCAGATATAAAGAAGTCGTATGGAAATGTATGGGTCCAGGCTTTCCAAGGGTTAGCGTCGGCGTAAACTCGCTCTTTGTTTGACATGGTTAATGCTCTTTACATTACATTGGGAGGATCAATAATCAATTTAGACGTTACCAACGATGCACTTTGTAGCTATTCGTACGATTTATTTCAGCCCCTATCCAATTATTTATGCATTGTTAGTAAAGGTCATATTCTTTTGGCGAGATGATACATGGGGAATGACGCGTACTAGGATATGGAATTCATTAAGATACCTGTGCAGGAAGTTACGTGACTGTTTCGCGTAATGGTTTGCTTTTTAAGCGTTAAAGTTTCTGGATAAAAAGAATCTACAAATGTATTTTTATTCTCAAAAATAGGCCTTGTTAGAAACATGAACATTTAGAGAGCAAGGTCTTTAAATTGTTGTTAATGATGCAATGCAGTGTAAGGACACTGATTTTACCAATTGGTAAGCAATACAATCACTCCCCGATATGGATTTTTTGTTTGTTTACCCTATAGTATTTTTGCACGCTAGCTAACGATTAAAAATTTTGGCCAGCTGGTATTCGAGAAGGGAACTCTAGCACCACCTCAGCCCTAATTGGTACAATAATAATCTTTACATCTACGACGGTCATATCTCAATAAATTTTATATTTGATTGTACGTGTGTATCTCTCTCTCTCTCTCTCTCTCTCTTTCTCTCGAAATGCTGATACAGTTGTTATTCGTTACCACTGTTATGATTCTCATCCATTTAGTTTACCACCTGTCGAGGCCTTTTCGAATTGACGTATCGAGCCAGAAAGTTACATATTTTGATAATTTGCCTGACCTTTGTGTTTCTTCTGCCTTTTCCTAGGACCACAACAACCACTCTCCCTCCGACGACAATGGAGTCGTACAGCTCTGTAAGCTGGTCCAGTGTCTACGTGAACATGACGGAACCTACATGCGAACCCAACTGGGGGAAGCTCTGGGGTCCTTTCTTTCTCATCCTTGTCGCCATCTTTGGTTTCTTTGCGAATCTGAGCCTGGTGATAGTCGTGCTCCGCTACACGCATTTCCATACGGCCCCGAACATCCTGGTGCTCAACCTGGCCATCGGGGACATGCTCTATGTGTTGGTGTCTGCACCATTCCACGCAGAGCACGAGGTTCACCATTGCTGGCAGTTTGGTTTAGTAATGTGTAAGTTGAGTAACGGCATGCAGGTGCTCTCTCAGGGTGTCTGTGTCTATTCGCTAATGGCGGGAAGCATTGAACGCTACTGTGCCATAACTCGTCCTGTAGGAGACAACAGCACAATGTCACCCCACCTCAAGACATCTCTGGTGGTGACAATGATATGGGTCGTGTCGCTCGCGCTTTCCATTCCAATCATGAAAATTGCCTCCATGCCAACTTCAGTATCGTGCTTTTATTTGCCGCATTTCAGCAGAACTGCTCTGATTCACGAGACATTCCGCTTCATCGTTATGTATGTCATACCACTGATCACCATCACTTTCTTCTACACCAAGATGTCGCGAACACTCATCCTGAGCACGTCTCGATTCTCGGGAGAACGTCAGCCCGGTGCAGCCCCGCAGCTCAACACTCGACGTCGAGTAGCCATCATGTTGCTCACAATAGCCATCTTCTTTGGCATCTCGTGGTTGCCTTACTTTGCGTATGCCATGTGGTTCCAGTACTCGTTTGACTACAGGAAGCCCTCGCACAATACCATCGCTCATGTGTTCCGTCAGGTTCGTTTTATCTTGGCATTCTTGAACACATGCTTCAACCCGGTGGTGGTCTACGCCTTGAGTACAAGTTACCGCCGAGCGCTGGTACACACCCTGCGTTGTCGACCATCTAACGAAATTGGACGAGATGGCCCAAGAAGTACTTACTCAGCCTACAAGAACAGTGTCGTGACGGCGAGGAAACGGGTCACCAACCATAACAACGCATGCTTTGAAAGCACAGATATGACGGTTCTGAGTTCATGACTAACTAATAAGTTCTCTTGTTGCGAGCGAACAACTCCAACGTAAAGAGGTATATAATTGGGCTTGAAGCACAGCGGTATATCACAACGACCTTGTCATAGTGTGACAGTCACATATTTTAGTCTGCTATTGACGAATGACTACTCGTCAGATATTATAAATACAATTAATGCTCACATTTCTAATATTGTACAATCTTTAATTTCTTACTCTTATGAAAACCTGTACATAAAAATCAATATGCTATTTTGTGGAAAGCAAGTCGTAAATAAAACATGTATCAGTTGAATGTTGTTTTAGTCATTTACATGATGTGTTTTCATGTTTGCTTAGTTGAGCTTTTCACACGAATGATCATTTGTAGACAACAAAGCAAGGACTGATGGACATAATGACGGACTTGAACGCACTATATGAAACGACTGAATTTTGATAAAGATTTCGTATTGTCTTTTTCCACCACCTGACTTTTTACCTTGTGACCAGCGACCTCAACTTTATTATTTTTTTACAACGACCGACGCAGAAGAAAGACGACCGGACAAATGTTTATAATTATTACAACTGTTGTCAATTTGATTAACAATGTACATGGACATACGACGAGAAACGAACTACTACACTCCTAAATACCGTGACAGACAAAAATAGAGCATCATAAATTATCAATGTTTGGTACATCTTAATCCGTTAAGTCGTTTACATCGATCGTTTCAAGGAACTGACTTATATATCGTAATCCCTCCCGTTTCTTCTCCCTCAGTGTAATATAAAACTATGAATTCAAAATTGCACTGCTGTCTTTCGACGTGATCTGGAGTGGAGAATACACGCCAAGTTTCACAGTACGTGACGGACATTTTTTCACGAACAGACATGGCCAAGAATGAAAAACCAAACTAGTCTTTCAAATACAGTTTGTAAAGTTTCACAGAACTTTGTAGTGACAAGGACATGATTTGCAGCCTCAAGTAATCGCAGTAACTGTTCTCCATGAATAGCCAACAAATATGCCACATTAAAAAAAAAAAAAAATCGTCATTCAGATCAAATCACATAAACAAACACTTTACTTGCATAAATTAAAAGAAGAAATTCACAGCTTTTATTCATGACTGGTAGTAACCGTTATCAATAAAATCAAACACTTTAAAATGTACTCGGTAACTATTCTATATTGCTAGAAAGGTACATATTGTAGAAATGACATTTATTTAGTACATTGCATCACGTGGATAAAATGAAGTAGTAGTAGTAGTATATTTGAAGTATAAGTACTTGTATCAGTAGCAGTAGAAGAAGAATAAGTAGTAGTAGTTGTAGCAGTAGTAGCAGCAGCAGCAGTAGTAGAAGTAATACTAGTAGTTGTATTATTATTATTATTATTTAGTAGTAGCAGTAGTAGTAGTAGTAGTAGTAGTAATGGTAATATGGTGTAGTATAAGTAATAGTGGTAGTAGTAGTAGTAATAGTGGTAGTAGTAGTAATAGTGGTAGTAGTAGTAATAGTAGTAGTAGTAGTAGTAGTAGTAGTAGTAGTAGTAGTAGTAGCAGCAGCAGCAGCTTTGTAGTATTTTGGAGTTTGTTATTTGGAATATTCCTAACTGTATCCCAACTCAAGAATGAACAAAAAACAAATCCTTACATGTATCACTTACAACTGTTTAGAAATTCGTCTAGCGTAAAACAGCATATCAAAGGTAATACAAGGTGTCCAGGATAAACAAATACTTCCCAAAGCCGCGGATCGCGGTGTTCAAAGTGTTTAAGGATTACCTTTCTACCTTTCTACGGTACCTGGTACTCATGAATATACTAGTCCCGGGTAGAGAGGGGGAACTTCAGATTATCTTGCTAACGGATACTAGTGACATGACGGGACTCTAACCCATGACCTTCGATCTTCAGTGCAAGTGTTAAAACCACCCGACTACCAAATCTCGATCTTCTTGAACTTGACATGGTAAAGGCGACGCACTTTATATAATCCCCCAATCGAGTTGACTTATTCTATTTAATTTTCAGTTAATGAATACAATTATTTTCTCCTTCATTAACTCTTCATCTTAGTGAAAAGGTAAATGAATAAAACAGATTATATTCTCTTTTAACTTTCATTTGGCATGGGGAGGGGATCGTCTGCATACGCTTGATAACATCTTAAAGAAATATGTTCAAAATGTAGACATGATTACTTAGTACTTATAATTGTGACAATTGTTCTAATAATTGATATACACGACCTTGAACAGACAGGACGTCCTTGACGGGAAGCTCTACCATTACAGGAAGCAACCTAATACAGCAAGAAACGCATATGATATTTTATTGCTTTATTGTTTTAAAACATCGAGGTAAAAGAAGTTTCGAAAATTTGTAATGAAAACTTGATATATAACATATATACGTGTGTTGCACATCATCGTGAATTATTCTCAATTGCCCAAACAAATATTACTGAATGACCCTAATTTTTTTGTGATAAATCAGACAACGTATTTTGGGGGTAGGCAAATTGATGTTAGTTATCATTACCTTTGTTTTAAATATGTATATGCTTGTATTTTCCGCACTCACTCAATATAATGAGAAGGCATCATGTGCCGATAAATTTTTAATTTGACAAGTTTAGTGTAAGCTCACATTTCTGCCATTTGAGTGTATCTTTTCTTCAAATACATTATAATGTGATAGCATCTGTGTTTTCCCATTGTTCTATCTTTTAAAAATCATGATCACTAATTCTCATTAGTCTGTCTAAAGCAGGCGTGACCGCACTAAAATGTAAATTTGTGGTTTTTGTTTTACTTCAATGTTGAGTATATAATTTTCCATGTGTAATTTTCTTCGAAAGTCATACAATTATTTAAAGAAGTAGTTTGTACATGCACGTGAAATATCTGTGAAGAAAAATAATAAACAAGATGTAGAAGGCTAATAGGAAAAATATTAGTATGACAATATTTCAGTTTACGTGTTTTGCTTTTTTCTTGAATTGTGGAGTAGGTGATCATTCGACCAGAACAAATTAAAGAACAAAACTCATAACTTCATCATTTTCACCATTTAGTAAAATCATCGACCTTTAATTTCAAAGAGCAAATTTGTTATTTATTATGTGACATCGAAATAGTAACATGTTACGTTATTTTAATATTCAAGTAAGTTGTTATATTTCTGTTTTATTGTCGTCTAAATATTTCTATTCATCAAACTAATTACCCTTTCACATCTGTATGATACATGTTTGAAAGTGAATGCTATGACTGTATTCAAGTTATTAAATGGATCTTTAGCAGTTATAGTGCTGCTGGGCTTATGGCACCGGACATGTCAGCAGCGTGCCGTTTGAAACCCAATATGAGTTAGAGAACAGAGGTGAAACACTTCGCTTTCTAAATGGAAACGTTATGCGAGTGAACGATACTGCTTCACATCCTAACCTTGCAGCGATCTTGAAGCTATCCAACATGGATCGTAACGGAATCGACGGGGCATCACCCACTCGATCGTGGCTCGTTACCAGGGCACATCTATACCTATAGCAAGGCACTTCTCCATCCATTCATGTCGATTGGTTTGCAATATCGGATTCCCAAATCGAGCTTCTAAATGATGAGCTCATGTTACCCTGTTCGTACATCGAGTAATATATTTTCATTTAGCCTCGATCACCCGATTACTTTACCATTGATATATTCGTTGAGACGCCACGAGAGCGTTTACGTCAAGACGACTATCCCGTGTACCATTTCCTTTTCTTGAATGATCACTTCCGGAGAATGAGCGAGAAAAACATATGGCAGAAATATTTCACTTAATATTGTCGCCTTTGCATTTTGAGGTTCTTTTGCCAGAAAAGAAGGCTTATTGACGTTACTTTAACATAAATCTGAATTGTCCCAATAAAATCCCACAGGGCCGATTAACACAGCAATCCATAAATGTTAACGTAAAACCAAAATCATCGCTGTATGCAACAGATGTGTCCGATGCTTGTAATTAAGTGGCTTTGTGAAGTAGATTAAGTGGTTCAAAGTATATTATGCACTCCGGAAAATCCTCATTGCATAGTGCACAACCTTGCTTGTGGACAAGTCCATTCGGTGACATATGCGTTACCAAGTATTGTAGAGTTCTAAACATGATCTGACGTCATAGTGTTATTTATCTTCACATTTGGTCTGATCCGAGCTCTAGTGGGGCTATTAACGTAATAAATCAGATAATAGATATACCAATGATTGTGGTCGGTAAAGTATGGGATGAAAGAGCTTTGACTAACCCATGTAACTATATTGGTTAAACATGTAAAGCTTACCGGACTGATATCCTTTTGGTATATTTGCCTGTGGTATTCCTTGTGCTCCAACTAACATATAGCAAGCACACCGAACCCATAACATACAGAAGAGACTTTCTATACCTAGTTACAAACATTGCATTACATCATCCAATCTCCAACCTTGAGCCATCGGGCAATGGGTCCTTAGCAGAACCGGCAAGGAAGGCGGCTGCTATAAACATCAAACGGAAAGCCGCCTTAGTTGGCCTTCTATTGATATATCTACACGGAAATCAATTTCAAATGATTTATGAAATACTCAAATGTCTAGCTCATGAATATGTTGATGCGTCTTCTAATAGCAAGTAAAAGGACGTAACACCATATTCAACAAGTTGAATGTTTAATGGAGAATCCTTTTCGTACTAGTTTTACTTTTACGTGAGAAATTATTAAGATAATGATTTCAAAACAATGGCCATGTTGTATATTAGTAAAATGATTGTGGATTATTACAAATCCGATTTGCAAAACTTGTTTTAGAGTATAAAGGTTTGTGCAAGGTATTGGTTTGTAGACGAGCAAAACCTTGCAGGAATTGTTATTTTAGAAACGAACGCTGTTCATATGCCATTAAATTCTTGACGCCTTGTAATTATAAATGCATTAATTGTTTACTTTTAGTATGTAAAATATGTAAAGATAATAATGTAGGTATTAGAGATTGTATTATTTGGGAAAGCTATCACAATAGGAACATTGCGTTATGTTGTATTTTATTATTAAGTCGTTACACTGCAGTAATGTAATGATTTGGTAGAATTGGTAGTTATAATCATAGGCAAGGTTTGTGACATTAAACATTCACTATTTGAATTGCATCTATCTTTGTTTGGAGGTAATTCATCGAAAATCTGAGCGAAGTGTGGAATTTATGGAAAGCATACAAATTTTGTTGAACTTTAGTTGTATTTGTGATTTCATATTAATGGCAGTTGTCAGTAAAATATCAATGTATGCGAATCAATCAGCATTGATGGTTATTATGTTGTATAATTCATTTGTTGACGTATTTGTACAAATCCTTACCTAGCATAAGCAAACCATTTATTTCTGATCAATTGTTTCTGATGCATGTGCATTCAGTCAAAGTAACTGCTAAATGCGAGCCAATTAAAGTTATTCAGTCTACACAAAAGATGCCAATCATTGTTGCGTAATGAATTCGGGAACGTGTGGTGTGCATTATGTTGGAATAATATGCCCTAGATTGATGAATTATTATTGAGTGCCCCCCCCCCCCCCTCATCATCCCCTTTTTTCGTTTTCGACAAATTCCTCCAGTGGTGAGATGGACCTATTCTATATTACCATGGTTACGTATCCTTTAAATCTGTTCAGCCTATATCTATACCTCAAATGAACTAATGATTTACCCTAGATTATCAGTCTGCCCTGTGTGTGCATCCAATGTGTGCAGTGAATTTGATCATTATAAATGCGAACGAGCGAAGTGAGCGAGCTTTGGGGGAGGTTCGTAAAAGAGTTGCTCTTAGTCGCTTTAAATGAGGGGCACATCATTGTTAGGGAGAAAGGAAAGGGGACACTTCTCAGAAGGGAAAAGGACACTTATTCGAAAAGAAAAGGAGCCCGGGTAAAAGTTAAAAGGGAAATAATCAAAGATGGGAATGGGCACTTGTCTATTGAAAATTGACACCTATCTGATAAAAGAGGTGTGAGCGTTTATGAGAAGGGGAAGGTATATGTCAAAGCTACACCCAGGTGTAAATGGGTACCTGATATGCCAGGGTGCTACATATTTGGCGGCTAGCTGTTAAAGACCGGGGTAATAATGTTGGAGTGCCGGTAGCATTGCAACATGACGGACATGTGTGTATAAGAAACCATCCTTATTAATATCACAATTACATGTATATGTAGACAGAAGAATGAGTTTCAGCCAGGCCTTTGATATTTGGAGTGGACCATCTAAACAGAAACAGAAGCGGG